GGGGGGGGGGGGGGGGGGGGGCGGCAACTGTGAGGCTCCTTCTAGGGAGTACCTGTAGTTTACTGGGTTCTTGTTACGAAACCCCTATTATTTGCCACAGGTCCCTACGATGGCAACTTAAACTAAGTTTCTGAACAAGAACCCGGCATGCATATATATATATATATATATAGATTGATGTGTAAATAAACATATATATATATATATGTATGTATACTCTCCATTGTAGTTCCTTGTCCGGCTTATCAAGGCGTCCAACGGTCCTACCTAGAAAACAAAGCAAGCTAGCCCAACAACGAACTACGGGCGCAGATGGTAGGGCTAGGGGTCATGGGCATCTTGGGCTACGTACCAAGGCCTTTTTACACGGCTTATGGCAGGATTTCCGGTTTCGAGTTTCCATCGAATTCTGAGTGAAGCTGACACTACAGGGCGCTGTGAGGTAGACATCGGAGGGTCTCCGTGCTGGTGCTATCCAAGCGCTTTCCGGTAAGCTTCAGCAGTTGGTGAATTGCGGGCAAGAGGAAGTGAACATGCATGTTGCTACCCTAAACCCTAAACCCCCTCCGTTGGCTTGAAACGGCATCTGCATTTCTTCCAATAGCATCTCAGAACAGGGCCGTGCTGCACAAGGGGTGCGGAAGATCAGCTCATGGACTCTTCAAGCGATTCCCTGGACACCCGGCTGGATGCCACCAGTTTTCTCTTGGTGACAGGGCCCTTTCAGATCATCTTTGTTTTCAAACTGGTTTACTCCGTGATGCACCACCGCGCTTACCTGCTTGCAGTGTCCCGAAGCATTTTGAAGTCTGCGGGACGATTGTTCCAGCGGCCTATGCTTGCTGACGATGAGCGGCTCGTGATGGAACAAGTGAGCCAGGTTCGTGTGCAGATCGCTCGCTGGTATGTCCGAAGCATGTGCATTATGATTGCAGGCCCTCGGAACATTTTCCATTTTTCTTGTGGGGCCGAATAGGATCTGCTTTACGATTCTATCACTGAAATTTGCTTAAAGATTATTGAGAACCCAAAACTCCTAAACCCTAAACTTCCCCAAACCCTAGAAACCCTCAAATTTTCACCGGGCCTAAATTCGCTAAACTTCAACGGTTTAGGGGTTTAGGTTTTAGGGCCCTAAACCTAAACACTAAACCCTAAAAGGCATTCCAGGCCCTCTCCCTAAACCCTAAACCCTAAAAGGGATTCCAGGCCCTCTCCCTAAACCCTAAACCTTAAAAAAAAAACAAAAACTAAAAACCAAATATATGAGCGATATAAGCCCTATCCTTCCCTAAACCCTAAACCCTAAAAGGGATTCCAGGCCCTCTGCTCTGGGTCCAGTCGCGTGTGCTGATGACCAGCCCCCCTGCTCGAACGAGCTCCACTCTGACTTGGTCCTGGTCCCTTGGTCCTAAACCCAAATGGGTAGCTCTCTAACTTAGGGTCCCTTTTAGGGTCCCTTTTTATAATGGGTTTAGGACTATACCTTCATTATATTGAAGGATCCTATATTAATCTAGGGCATGTAGATAGTTCTCTAAATTAGGGTCCCTTTTAGGGCCCTTTTTATAAGGGTGCCGTACTATACTGGGGGCCTAAATGGAGACCCTATTTTAGAGAACTGCCCAAATAGTATATACTTTGGCCTTAAAGTAACCCCTATTTAGGGTTTAGGGTTCATGGGTTAGGGGTTTAGGGTTATGGTCCTACTTTAGGGGTCCAAAGGACCCCCAAATAAGATACTTAGGCGTCGGATACTGTAGTAATTATATAGGCTACTGCTTGGGAGAGTATATGATTATTGGGTACTTGGACCCTTGGTCCTAAACCCTACTTAGAGGCGCAAGGGACTTAGTAAGTCGGTTGTAAGTAGGGTTATAATTGGGGTAACTCCATTCAGGGTACTTATAACTTATAATTCTAGTTTATAATCAACTCACTAAGTCCACTGGGCCTCCAAGTACCTACAGGCTCCGTTGTAGTCCTTGTTGGGCTTAAGCAGATTCTAAAATGGTGGAAAGCAAGAGTTCAGGGTTTGAAGGTCCAGGGTTCAGGGTTTAGAGTTTAGGGTTTAGGGTTTAGGGTTTAGGAGTTTGGGTTTAGGGGTTTGGGTTTA